TCGGTCTTGTTGGCTACGCCTTTAGACAGATGGGATATATGGTGGTGGTCACTGGAAAAATAAACTGGTACTATCGGGTTTGATTTTCTGACAAATATGATACGCGGGGTTCTTAGTGAGCCGTCTCTTGGAACAAGTATTGGTAAAAAGTAAGTTTTGAAGAAATAATTATTCCTGTTACCAAAAATCATGGTATGTACGTGACTCGCGAGCGGAACACGTGCTGTTCGCAGTGAGCCCACGACAACCAGGTACTCATTCTATCGAGTGAAGACTGTTTCGCACGTACACACTAGGACCTCGATACTGTATCTGTCACGTTACCGTTACAGCTCGGTAATGAGTGCCCGGCTTTAGTGAATTATAAATTACTGAAGCGCTTCTGTAAGCCTTTAATTTGAAGGCGCCCTTAATGTCATGTGAAACAGTATTTTGTCTACAACAAGATTCAATCAACAGTGATATATTTTAGGACCACTACGAGCCAAGGAAGTCGCGTAACACCAACCAACCATGCGGTGCAACATGGCAGAAGGTTGTGGGAGGGCCGTATACACAAATATACAGAATATGTTTTAATGTTGGTTTGGAAAACTTGGTGGAATGTGAGTCAAACATTGGAAGGGTTTTATGCTTAACTAGCCGCTTCTGTAAAATGTTAAAAATCGCAGAGAACAGAATTCATGGAAATAAACTTTTTCACACTTTAGTTTAAACACGAGTAAAAGAGCCATGGCATATAGACAGATGGACATATATTATAGTTCTGTACACAGAACCATAATGTTTATTGTAGTTCTATACACAGAACCATAATGTTTATTGTAGTTCTGTACACAGAACTATAATGAGTTTCAAAAGAGAATGTCGTATTTTTGTTAATTAAAATATCAAATATTTCTACTATATTAACCACTCAATTGCTCTACTGTCTCCTAAATGGTTTAAATATAAGCGTTACTTGGCTAATCACGACACTTCTATTTTATCTCTTTGGTTTTTGTTTTGAAGAGTTTGTTTAGACGTTCGCTTGAGTTTGTTGTCGTGGATTGTCAACAAAATATACGTTAAATATTGGTTGTGTTTCATACACTATTCATACCTAATTATGTAATGCATGCAATCACGACAATAATTAGGTCTTAACATTCCGCACCTATTACTCACCTAGAAACACGGTACTCGAATTTAAGAACCCTCATTATGCAACGATTGCATAAAATACTATTGTACGAGTAGGTACATTATAATTTGGTAGCTGTAGAGCTCCTTGTGAAAGAGTTCGTCCCGGGAAGTACTGTCGCCTTATTTATTTCTGCCGTGTATGTGTGCATTACTGCTTTCCGGTTTTAAAGGGTAAGGGTGTAGGTGAAATTACAGGGATTTTTCAACTTATGCCTCAGGGTGATAAGCACAGGGCAGTACCCCTCAGATCTTTGGGATTTAAAGCTCTGAGCGGCACTGCAACTGCTATGAACCAGGGCGTGTAACTTACCACCAGGCGCACAATTTGTTCGTCCATCACTTGGTGTCATAAAAAAAATTAACACAAATCAGAATTTTTCTCTTGACATTGTTTATCTACATACTTAAGATTACTTATAAGAGCTCTACAAAGACCGTAAGTGTTAAAATCAACATCGTCGTATGCTTAATGCACCCCACTTTGCAATTAGACGCGTCACAAAGTCCGGTTTCAGTTTAAGGCATTAGTTTCCGCCATCTTCAAGCGTACAATTGGAATAAAAATAATTTATACATTACAGTTTATGTGTATTAATACCTATTTAATTCCGATCCTACCAGGTGTTCGTGATCGTTACTATTATGGTGAAGTACATTTTTAATTTCATCCGGCTCTGCACAATCTCCTATCCATCTTACCGAATTATAATAGATCGGAGCCTATTATTTTTCGAAGCTATCTTCTTTATCGATGTAGCAATTCATGTACTGCACAACTTTTGGCCCATTGTACGATTGCATATCCGTGTCTACAGAAGAAATGTCTATTCACTGTCGTATGACATAATCAGTATGCTTCCATTGGTTGTAATGTGCGATCTTGTCAGTAAGTATGAACATTTTAATTCTGCGAATTTTGGTCTTTTTAATCGACTTCAAAAAAAAAAAGATGTTCTCATTTCGATTGTATTTTTTGTGAAACGATTTCGTTGGTTCTTTTTTTGTTTGAAAGGGGGTACCACAGTAGTGATCGCATTGAAATTTGAAGAAAATATTCCTCCTCTGAGAGTGGCAAATTAAGGGATGAATCCGGTTTATTGGATTTCACCCACTTTCCGCTAACCAATTTCAATAAAACTTGGCAAATAGACGTCGTTTGACAAACTTGTGATGTCTGTTTTTTTAATAAAAAGTTATATCTCCTATTGTTGATGGTACCTGTACATTTTTGTTCAAAATTCTTTTTTCAGATAAATTCTATCGCACTGGAGTACCGTGTACATACTTGATCAAGATTGGGAGATGGCTGGTAATCGGTCGTATTTACAGAGTTGCTATGTACTTCCTAGATGTAAATACAGAGGTACAAAATGAAGATAACAAAACATTAAGGCTTTTATTTGTAGTTTGACTTGTCATTGTTTCTGTGATTTCAGTAAATTTTACTTATGGAGTTACTCCGGGAGTGGATGTACACTCCCGGACATATAATTCGAGCCACCTCACATCAGTATTAAATGCCCTAAGCTTAAACAATGTTCGATTGATCAAGAACTATCTTAACCAATTTTGAAACTAGTATATTATAAGTGTTTTCCATAGGCCTTGTCGGAAATTTGGACTTCAAAACCGGGGGAAACCTTTTTCTTCGATGAGTGTTATCATCGAACGAAGATTTTTGTATTCTAGCCCTTTACGATAAAAATGCGAGGTGGCGCGAATTATGTGTCAGGGTGTATATTATAATTTAGAGGCAAGCTAGTAATATTAAAATTTTTCGTTCTTCGGGACTCGGGACGACAGATCTTAGATTGTAATTATTCTTCAATTGTTTAATTGTCTGAAATTTTTTCGTGGGAAATAGTTATATCTTTACGGTGGTCATTTTGAAACTCCAGAGGAAAGCTAAAACTAAAAAAAAATATGTTGTTTTTTTATTTTTTTTTCCGTTATGGAAAAGGCAAAGGCTTAAAACAATACAGTCAAGTTTAGGTAAATAGGCCTACTCCAAGACTTCAGTCCATTGTACATTTTTTTATAGGCATCTAAGCCGGTTGAAGTAATTCTTTTTTCAAATTAACGCTCTGGTATATATGGCTAGTAGGTCATATGATAATTGTTTATTTTTTATTTAATTATTTATTGTACAAAAAAACATAAATACAATTAGTAACAAGGAAAACACAAGCAAAAGGTACTGCTTATATCTAACATAAATTTCATCCTGCAAATCTAAATACAGAAGACAATACTTACAATAACGGGTTTACTTGGACAACAAAACAAAAATTATGTAATAAAAAACAATATCATAAACATTAAATTATTAAAACTATATAAATACAGAGATATATACATATTTCGTACTATGATACCTATAAAATGCATGGAACAGTCGATAAATAGTGCTCCTTAACTCTCATTTAGCAAAATTGCTAAGGATGTTTCACTATCATGACCATTAATGGGAAGTGCATTCCAAAACCTGACCACGTGAACAGTGAAAGATTGAGATAAATTGTTATGATAATTCAAAATTTTTTAGCGTTTCTGTAAATGTATCCATGAGTGTATATTGCGGTTTAAAGGCAAGATGTTTCTTTGAATGATGGGTGCAACGATTCGTATCACATTACAGATGCAAAATTCCCGAAGACTGTTCTATGTACTGGAGCACATCGTTTTGGTGAATCTCGCGTTACATGGCTCAACATGCATATGGAACGCATTGAATCAACCGGAACGCCCTGAGAAGCAGTGGTATAATCTCGGATTTCCAGATCATGTACATATAGCGAGGCTTACCTTTCAAAAGTAATATTTCCAGGACAATCAGTGATAATTTGAATGATGTCATTGCTGGGCAAATGAAAATTACTGTTTTTTTTTTCAGTTATTTGGAATGTTGGTACTACAGCGCCGGACGGCTTTTTAATATAATCTTTGGAGACTCATTCCCTTTTGTAAGTATTTACACATGTGTACAATAATAATAATAACGACAACAACAACAACAACAACAAGAATAATAATAATAATTATGAAAGGCATTAGTAGATCCAAATTATATTCTTAAAAAAAATTGCTTGGATTTTCGTAGTTTACAAATTTAAATGCTCTAAAACTTAATGTAAATGTGTTTTAATGCAATGGATTTTTTTAAGTATGAGGCTGACTTTTGTTCAGTAAATCCACATACAATCACACCAAGAAAAAATAATTTAATGTACAGAAGTTTCCTTTCAGGGTAGTACAGAGAAATGGTTGACATCTGTCCTAATGTTATTTGGTTTTGTATTAATGCGGTATCAGTTCGTGGGCGTTCTTGCCTGGGACATGATTGATCAACTCACTCGATGGTCGCAATTCGTTGATCGGGTGAGTAAATACGACTTATATTTTATAATTATAGTCGCGTTGTTTTGTCAAGTACGCACGCATACACAATGCATGCACAAAAAGGGCATGTCACAAAATTGGGATTTATAAAACACTGTGCGGAGGAGAAGCGGGAAAAACTGTTTTTCTGGATCATTTGGTTTAAGAGAACTCTATTTGTGTTTTCTGTGACCTCTCAAAGGCGTTGACCATATTACTCTTATTAGGAAGCTGGAACATTACGGTGCAAAATGGCAAGGCGTCGGAAATTGTCTCGTCATATCTCAACGGTAGAATTCAGAAAGTAGCCATAAATGGAGTGGCTTCTTTGGGTTCTCCGGTAAAAATGGGTGTTCCGCAGGGCTCAATACTTGGACCTTTCTTGTTTCTAATTTATGTTAATGATCTGCCATTCTTTGTTAAGGACCATTGCGAGTAGTATTGTTTGCTGATAAAATTTCCTTTATATTATAAAACAGACAGATGTCATGTCTGTCATCATTAATATTAACGATACCCTCTCTAAGGTAGTTTATTGGTTTAATGCTAACAATTTATTGCGTAATGCCATGAAGACATAATGTGTTAAATTTGAATTACCTAACGTAGAATCGACTAGTCCAAGCATAGAAATAAACGGAGAAAAGTTAGACCTTGTTAACAAAGCAGTCTTCTTGGGAGTGACCTTAGATAGTAAACTTCAATGGTTTCCACATACATCTTCCTTGCCAGCAGATTAAGCTCCGCTGTATACGCAGTCCGCAGAATATGTGAGCTTACTGATGTTAGTACTGCTAGACTAGTTTACTTTAGTTACTTCCATAGTATAATGTCCTACGGGATTCTCATGTGGGGTAAAACGGCAGATATTCAAACTATATTTCTATTGCAAAAACGAGCGATTCGTCCTGTGTACCGTCTAGGCTCTCGGGTTTCTCTCAGAGAAAAGTTTAAGGAGACTGGTATCATGAGTGTGGCATCATAGTACATTTACTCAAAATTATTTATATGCCCGTAAAAATATATGTACATAATTTCAATAAGAAAGAAGATATCCATAATATCAACCTTAGAGCTAAGTATAAACTCATGGTACCACGTTTTCGTTTAACCAAGCTAAACGACTCTTTTATGGGTAACTGTATACGTTTTTACAACAAGATTTCGGAGCATATATTAAGTTTATTATTTCCTAAGTTTAAAAACTACATTAAAATTATTTTGATCGAAAAGTCATATTACAAAATTGAAGACTACGTGTTAGATAAAGATGTATGGAAAGACGACACGGCTCCAGAATCCACACAAATTTGATTCAAAGTGTACTCCATAGCATTTAAGTTTATTTGAAAAGAGCAATCCCTAGAGTTTCTTGCTCGTTCTTCTCAGGGAAGTCAGCGTCGTGAACGAGCAGTAGCTTAATGTAAATATGATGTTTTCAAGTGTAAATTTATTTTACCTATGAAATAAATGATCTTTGACTTTGACTTTGACTAAGTATTTACTGTTTAAGTACGGTCTTACAAAACATATACTATACAAACACCTAAGGTTATTGTCTAAAGAAAGTGCTAATGCGTCCACGATAGGCTGTACTTCGCTCGATCATAATTATAAAATTCTGAAAATAGGCTAAAATAAAAGACTAACATTAATTATAAAATTTAGAATAAAAAAAAATTAAGAATAAAATGTCTAACTTTGTACTTAATTTTTATATGGAGATTTTTTTCATTAAGTACTACAGAGAACTTGCTAAAACTCTCATTTATCTCAAAATTTGAAATTGGCCAGCGCTTTAACGATGCGCCGAGCCGCCCGCCGCTGGCTGTCCCGTCAGTCGCCATCGGGCGCTTGTTGACGTCGGATCTGTGTCAAAGTTTCTCCGCCTATTCACACCTCACGTCCTAAAATGTAGGCTCGCCTTAATGAGTTTCAATAGCGCTTTCGTTATCAATATGCATTTATTATAAATTTTATGATTAAATTTTTCTTGCTTGGTCACACACAGTATCACCACATGAAAGAGTATCTCAAATCGTGTGGAGCTCCACAGTCTCTCATAGACCAGGCGAAGAATTACAAGTTGCAACTCTGGAAAATGAAGAAGGGAGTGTTGAGATCAGATCATCTTCAGAAACTGCCGCATTCATTGCAGATGGAATTGATATTTGATATAAACGTTGGTCACTTTCATCGGTCAATGCTTTTGGGAGATACGGGTATGAATTTCAAACTTATCTACTTAAACCAAGCGGCAAATACGTTATACATATACACCTGTGACTATTTTCTTGGCTTTGCTAGGAGAACCGTTCATGCGTCAATTAGCGCTAGTGATTCGCCATGAATTGTATTTGGCTGGGCAGCAGATATGGAATCAGGGCGTGGTTAAGAGCGGCCTCATCGTAATCAAGCAAGGCGTCGTTGAGTTGCTCTCGGATGAGGACGATGAGAGCCCTATAATCGCATTTAAGGAAGGAACAGTTAGTACCATTATTCTGAAATGAGTTTCATAGAAGAGTCCATAGATATTTATTCAGTAGCAGTAGAGCTCCTTGTGAAAGAGTTCGTAAAGGGAAGTACTACCACCTTACCTATTTCTGCCGCCAAGCAGTAATGGAAGCATTATTGCATTCCGGTAGGGTGCTGGTGAAAATACAGGTTCATGGGACTTGTCAACTTATGTCTCAGGGTGATGGGCGCAGTGGTAGTGCTCGTCAGTTGTTTGCGATTTAGAGCTCTGCGTGGCATTGCAACTGTTATGGACAGGCGTGTAGCTTACCATTAGGTGCACGACTTGTCCGACCCGTCACTTGGTATTATAAAAAGAATCTCTGTTTATATTTACTTAGGTACTGGGAGAGTTAAGTTTATTCTACTCGATACCAGCGAAAGTTAGTGTGCGAGCAGCCACTTACGTGGAAGTGCAGGTTAGTAAACTTTACTAATAAACAGAGAGTCACCAAGTATTCACGCCCTAAAACAAACTTTTCATGATTTACGCAGTATAAACTAAGTTTGCCAATCACGTTGTCATTCATTCAGGTGTTACGTAGATCAGATTTTATGAGAGTGATGTTAGAAAATCCCTTGGTCCTGCACAATGTTCGCAGCAAAATAGAGAAAAGAGTTAAAAGCTCGTTTGCAAGACAGGTAATCCTTGAGTTCTTATGTTTTATCGATTGTTACACATAGGAATTGAAAATATTTTTCAGATCTAAATCGCGTGTATTTATTTTTTCAAACAAACCAACGTTCAACGTTCAACGATCTTACAGGTCCCATGGTCAGCCGTCACCGTGAGGTTCAGATTCGAAAAATAGTTTCATTTCCCAGTTAACCTTTGAGCTCTGTTATTAGAAAGCGAATAAAGTTCAAAGATATTATTTTTAATTTATACATTAAAGTTGTAGAAAATTTCATTTTATAATAAACGTGTTACGACTTTTGTGGTGTTAAAGTTTTGTTTTGTCATATTGATGGGGTTTGCGTTAATGATATATGTTACGCTGATGACATGGTGCTTTTGAGCCCATCTATCGGCGCTTTGCGCAGGCTGCTAAAGATTTGTGAGTCTTATGCGGTGACTCATGGGCTCAGATACAATGCGCGCAAGGGTGAGTGTATGATATTTAGAACACGTATATCATAGTGCCTGCCATTAATCTAGGCGATACTCCTCTAAAGCAGACAAAACAATTGAAGTATGTGGGTCACTGGGTCACCGAGGACCTATGTGATAATGCCGATTTGGAGGAGCGCAAGGCACTGGTTGTCCGTTGTAATGTGTTGACTAGTAGGTTTGCACGATGTACAGATGAAGTAAGGGTAACGCTTTTTAAAGCTAATTGCCAGTCTTTTTACACGTGCAGCCTGTAGGTCAGTTACACGCGGCGGACATATAAAGCACTGTGCACCTGGGTGCATAATCGGAACAGCATCCTGAACACATTGTTACACTGGATAACAATGTGTTCAGGATGTTGTTCCGATTTCTACCTTTCTGTAGCGCGTCAACCATGTATGCAGAGAATAAATAATCTTTGACTTTGACTTTGACTTTCTACTCTATCATGCGAAAGTAGTAGTAGTATCGCTACTCCGTCGCATACGTCTCAGTACGAACGTCATCCTGAGCACATTGGTGGAAAGATGGGAGTCCCCAATGCTGGGGTGGTGGATGCGATTGCATAGTGTTGCCAATGCGTAGCCAGTTATCCTGACATTGGCTGGGTACTTTAGTTCCCATATTAATACCTATATACAATATATACAATTATGGTTTATTATTATTTTAAACTTAACACTAGCTCAAGTATTCTTCTTTGCTAACAAATATTATGGATGAATATATTTGAAATAAATAGATCATTATTATTATTACCTACAGCACCAATTATCATAGTACGAATATTCGAAAGCTTAGAATTGTTCACTATGATGGTTTTCTAATCTATTATGTAACTTTTTAGGAAAGCATTTCAGAATATGACAGTAATGATTCTAGATTGATTCGAACTCGGTATCGTCCCATGAAAGTGTTCCAGGACCACTTGGCTGGTGTGGAAGATGAAGATCCTACATTTGTTGATGATTCACACTTGTATTACAGAGGTAACAAACAGGATATCTATATTAATAAATTTCATATTAGATTACGCACTCACTCATTGGGACCCGCGGACACGCGGGACCTCTGCGTGGCAGATCAGCATGGTAACCGTTTGGACACAGTGGCAGTAACGTTACATCTGTATATATTAACTGGATGATATGTTACTTCTACCAGTTTTTATAAATTCTAAGTTTTAAGAATTGTTTAAATAAATGTTGTAACCGATGTTATATTTCTGTCTTGCAAGCAATCCTCGTAACTTGTGTTACTTTTAGATAAAAACAACCAGCGGCTACCGAAATTCACCGACGAGTATTTACAGCTGTATAAATTGACTAATAACGTGACCACTGTCGATTCACCGCATATTATTATCAATTCTAACTTTCCCTGGATTTTGGAGCCTGATACAGATTTTGTAAGTTTTTAGCTGCAAGTAAACATCCAAGTAAAAATCGGATATTGTGTAATTTACAGTTCATCAATGGACTTGATTGACAAACAAATTAATAAAGCTCGGCTGTCCCGGACCCGTAAAATTTGACATATTCCAATTGTATACGTGAAGGCGCACTATAAGTTTCCGGAATGAATAAGAAAAAAATACTAATGATCAGAAATGAACTTACGGTTTCTCAAAATATTCTCTGTTAGTGTTAATGCACTTTTTCAAATGAATGAACCAATTTTGAAAACATTTATGCCACTCCACCGTGACAATCTCTGAAACATATTTTTTATACTCTTCGACAGCCTCTTCAGGTGATGAAAATCGTTGACCGCGCAACTGGTTCTTAATTTTTTGAAATAAATAAAAGTCACATGGTGCCATTCGAGACTGTACGCGGGATGACTCATAAGGTCAACGTTGTTCACCTTCAAAAATTCATTTGTTTGTCTGGCCGTGTGAGAACTGGCATTATCGTGGTGCAATATGATACGAAGTTTACGGTTATTTTTACGAAGTTTGTCAATAACTCCCGGTAAACAAATAGTCGTGTACCAATTACTATTCACGGTACAACGATTCTCCAAAGCAACAGTGGCCATGTGTCCAGTTGTATTAAAAGAAGAAGCAATCATCCGCTTGGAGGCACTTTGCACGCGCGCCACTTTGGTTGGTTTCGGCTCATCTCGAAAGACCCATACGCTCGATTGCTGCTTTGTTTTGGAATCGTAACTATAAATCCATGTTTCGTCACCTGTTACTATGTCCCACACCAAATTTGACGCCCCTTCGTTGAATCTGGTAAGCATCGCATTGCATCAAGTGACGCGATCTGCAAGGTATGTCACATGCCTGTCTGTTTTGATCATACGGCGCACAGCATCAATGTTTTTGTTGTTCACAGCAGTGGACGGGCGACCACGAAATTCGTCACTGAGATTCACATGACCGCGTTTGAATTCTGCAAACCAGCTATAAATAGTCGTCTTAATATGCTCTTGCATGGTGTTTCATCGCCAAATAACAGTTTGAAGCGAAGCTCCACTGAGCTGTTAATTTTCACGAGTTTAATCCATGGTGATGTAGACAACCAATTTGTAAAATGACGCCACAATAAAAACAATTGATAGTCAGATGAAACAAACTGTATTCTACAGCCAAAGAGTTCAATTTTCAAATGTGGTAATTACTTTTTAAATATATTTTATGTAAGTGGCCAATTCCGGAAACTTGTAATGCGCCCTATGAGTTTACTTATTTTTCCTTTAATTTAATGAACATTTGGTTTTTGTTTCCCGTATTCTACGATCCAAAATGTTAGATGTATTTTATTGAGCCTTGTACTTTATTTTTAAGCATAATAATTTTTTATCCATTTGATTGAATTTCAGACTCATGTGTTAGACGTGATCCACTTCTTAATGGTCCTGTACGTTTGTATCATGTCGCCTCTCCATGCGATGGGGCTCATGAATTCGGACACACAGAAGGTTGTTCATATAGTCATAATGTCTGGCTTGTTGCTCCACATTTATAGACAGCTGACCACTTGTGTCGTCGACAAGGTATGATTTTTGATATGGAGTTTCTATATGTATGGTACGTACGTATTGTGTGTGTAAAGTTGATATTCCGGAGTTTGTAAATAAGAATTCGTAGTTTCTAATAATAAGCACAGCATGCTGAGCCCATTATAGAAATGGAGGCAAGGTTAAAAACTTCCAAAGGCCGCTGTAAATTCATTAAATAACTGAGATGAGTGGCCTTCACAAAACAAGCAAAGTAAATAGGTACAACAGTTCGCAACAATGAAATAATGGGTGACTGACTGGACCTCTCTGCGTGAGTCGGCTGGCTGATAGAAAAGGCTGGGTGCTCTGCGCAGCAACACTAGTGATAGATTAAACTTGATGGATCAGTTATTGATAAATTAAAGAACAATGGATAAGTAATTAAAATTATTATAAATGTTTTTATGTGAAACTGTAAATTATTTTTGTTAGCGAAAATAAGGTGAAGAAAGTAACCTCCAAAATTAAATAATACTGAAATAAACAAGTTGAGCTAGCATTTACACATCGTCTGTTTAAAGGTAAAACCACATAAGTGACTTTTCCACGAAGTCTTTAATTTATGTAGCTATGGTAAGAAAATCACTGTATTTCTGCACGTAAAATTCGATAACGAAGAAGCTATAAACTTAAAACGCGCAGAAAGATGGTGACTGTCTTACAACTGGTATATAATTTGGAGTTTTTTCGTGGAAAATGTCACGTATGTGGTTTTACCTTTAAGAAGACGATATTATATTAACTTACGTTTAGCTCCATAGAGGGATTTTTAGACAATCATCACAAAGCAACAAAAATGGGGTATTACTTATATACTCGTGTGTTTATTTTTATAGAATGTGAAAAAGGTAACAGTGAAGGAGATAGCAGAACTAAAAATGTCTTCTGTCGGTTTCTACATGGACATAATATCTGTTTTTCCGGTGCATATTTTCATTGAGACCCTGTTTCCTGACCGTGACTCGATGTGGATGGAGGTTTCGAAGCTCTTTCCCGCACTGCAAGTTTGGCACTTATGGGATTATTGTTCCAAATGGCAAAAGAATTTCGAAAGTAACGATAAGGTAATTTTTAAACATGATAACTTTTCGTGATAAAGAACTATTTTGAGTTTACATTATGTTGTCCGTAGCCTAAATGTGTGAACTGCAAATCTCTATCTATTAATTAATGCCTGTTCTTGTTTTCTTCAGATTCTTATATTAATTAGATACACTATCTTGGAATGCATATTCTGTTATTGGTCTGGAGCCTTTTTGTACATGTACTCATGTCCTAAAAGTCTATGTAACGAGGTAAGGTTTTATGAGGTGAGAGAGGTTTTTAACAAGTTTTCTCATTAATTAGTTAATTTGTGTACGTTGTAACGTTTATGTCAAAAGTTCCGAATGTTTTGTCTAATTTGTTTGTTGTACACGGTGGATATGGTAACTTTATGGCTAATTGATTCAGAATATACATCTTCTTTTTAACCGTCTTCAAAAAGGAGGTTTACGATTCGACTGTACTTTTTCTTATGTGTATGTTATGCAATTACTTCGACATTTGCCAAACATTTCATGATTCTTTTGGAAAGGGGGTATCTCAGTGATGGTTCCATGACAAAACTTGAAGCAAATATTCCTCCTATAAATATTATTCCTAAGGGTGGCAAATTAAGGGATGAATCCGGTTTATTGGATTTCACCCACTTTCCGTGGGTGCGTCTAACTTATACGAAAATTAAATAAATTAATTTCAAAACAAATACCGTTCATTTAATATAATTTTTATTTAGACCAATTTCACTTCCTTTAATATAACTTTATATAAATCTTGTACACTTTATACATTCACAATTCACAAAAAAAATTAATATAAAACTCATATTATATGACAATCATTTCATATATTGTCAATTTAGATAATTTTTACGTGGTATAATCACAGTTTACATAAATAATAAGTTTAAATCCGACTCCCCATGATACTTGTGTATTCGATGCTGAAATTTCATTTTGACAAAATTATTATTGTTATACACTGGATTCCTTGGTGGTTTAAATAAAACAAACGCATTTTACCTAAGTCAAATCTTCAGGTTGCCATTCAGTAGGTTAGGTTATAAAATGAAAATGCAGCACGAGCCGAGCGAACTTAGCGAGTGTGCTGCGTCTGCGGCCGGCAAGTGCGAGCAGCAAATGTGAATAATATTTGTATGATACATTACACACACACTTTCTATTACACAATTTCAATAAAACTTGTTTACTATTTAAACTAAATGTAAACTATTTACGATCATTTTTAGGTCCTCGATATTCTGTTTATTTTTTCGCAGAGCTCATGGATGTCACAACTTATTCTCGCAGAAACTAAAGTCTTCGTAACAAATAATGCTCGACACGAGTACCCTATTACAACAGCCATCTCTTTTGGCACAGCAGTGTTTACCGGTAGTGGCATTGGTGAATTGTCACCGGGTACTAGTGATCTGTTGGTGGTAAACTGATTTAACATCTCTATTATTATTTCTGTTATTAACGCATAATGGACTGTCCTGGCGTAGTATAATAAGGCAAGTAGGGTCATTTCACTTAGCCGGTCAAGGCCTTATCCGGACGCACACATTTGCATAATCTCGCGGTGCACTCACGTTACATAACGCGGGTCGTCACACGTACCATTCATTATAGAATTGAAACGTTTACATGCTTTTGAAAAAAAATAAGTCAAATAATTGACGTGTTGTTAAGGTGGCTTGATCAAGAGTGACTCAAATTGAACAGAATTGTTCAGCATTTAATTTTTATTTCATAATCATACTCCTATAATCGAGATACCAATCCACAATCCTGGTGCAGAAATATCAATACGTAAGTTTAACAAAGTACCTACGTACAATTTTTCTATTTTCTCAATATCCCTCGGCAAAAATCGGATTTCCGAATGCACGTGAATACCGACGATTGTATAAGCTGTCGTCCAAGTATCCCACCAGCTGGAAGTACTGGAGTGCCATTCATAGACCCTATGATTCGATACAAAGCATTTTTTTATGAAGGATATTTTACAGTTGGCCGCTGATGGACTTGACTGCGCCACCGATTATTATTATTTTTTATCTAATGTCCTTTTGCAACTTAAATAGTAATTTAGTTAACACTTCGACAGCGCGTTCTATTTTGATGCCGACGCCATCTAGAGACAAGGGGAGGTTACTAATATTTGTTGTGTGGAGTTACATTAGTAGATATTTAAAAGCAATTAACTTTTTCCTGGTTCATTTTCAGGTGTTTTTTCTATTTGCCATAGGCACATACATGCAAATGTTTTACATTGCAAGAGTATGTGCCACATACGTTCTATCGACTAAGAGAAAATTAGTATTTAGGGTTAGTTATAACTATAATAATAATCTAGAGCTTTATGTATAAAGTTATAGGAAATATTTTCGATAAACTGGAGTCTTATGTTTATGATGATTCCTAAACTTTTGTATACGTGGTGGCAATTGTAGTAGCTTTTCTCCATCGAGTATATAACCAGATATAGAGACGAAATGTCATTTAATTTGTTTGAAAACTATTCTGCCAAATCATTACAGTGACAACTACGCTCCGATTGGCCAGCCCGAATTCGAAACGATTGACGGGTGTCGTCAATGTTTCAAATCGACTAGTTTAACTTGAGCTTTGCTATAATGGACGAAAATTGAAAAATGACATATTTAATATTTAAATGCTGATGAAATGTGATTCCGTTTGTTTTGAAATTAGATGTTTTGCTGTTTTTCCCACACCACCGAATGGAACAGCCCCCATTGTTAGAGTTATTATCTGTGTTACAATAAATACAAATATTTTTGGAATATACGGAGACGTACACGCAGGTCAGTTGTTGGCGCTGTACTGTTTCAGTTTTCTAATTTGTGATTTCAGCGCAAACGAGAGTTGATATTTAAAAGCGATTTAAGACCCATTTGCCTGATGAGTTGTCAGGGATGGATGGCCCTTATTTCGTCTCTATTTCTGATTGTTAAACTCGATGCCTTTCTATTAGCCTTTCTTCCTAACCTTAACATTTTTTAGGAATCCATGAGGGAGTTATTTTATTTCCTGACAGTGAATCGAGTTAGTGCAAAAATTAAAGCACGCGTTAAAAAATTCTTCTGTGTGCAATGGTGAGTATGGTACTTCACATTTTTGTTAGAACGTTTGAAACGACTTTGTAAAAGTGTATTATTTTTACAGTAAAGCGATTGAAATTTCAGGTACTATAACCAGGCGGTATCGGTGGACGAGATATTCAAAGATATGTCTGTGAATGTTCAGCAGGAAGTTTTGTCTATAGAAATGGTGGAAACACTTCTGCATTGTCCACTTTTTCAGGTGACGTCACTACTTATGTAACGTTTAAGTCGCCGTCGTCGTATCAATCGTTGGGTAATTATATTACGTAGCTAGTATCTCCTTTACGGATAAGGTCGACCCATAACCTATCTTTCTAGCCTCGTTGATTTGAGGCTCTTCTTCAATATTTTTTTTTTATTGTTTCCTTTCGATGTTTACTATTAAAAGAAATGAATGGTTCAAACTTCTAACAAACTCTCCAGGTCACCGACTTTTGTTATGTATAACACAAGTACGGCCCCATATAGAGTATTGCTTGCAACTCTGGGCAGGAGCACCCAAATACCAGCTTGATTCACTTGACTCTATCCAACGTAGGGCTGTTCGTATTATCGATGATCCCAAACTCACAGACGGTATGGAGCCCCTTAGCTTACGGCGAGACGTTGGCTCTCTGTGTGTATTCTACTGTCTTTATAATGGGGAGTGCTCTGAGGAACTTTTCGAACTGGTGCCACCGCCTCGTTTCTACCATCGCACCTCCCGCCAAAGGAGTAGAGTCCATTTCCACATCTTAGATGCCTGGCATTGTAAGGCCATACGGGCATCTCGTTCGTTTTTTCCTCGAACCTGCAAGGTTGTGGAATGATCTTCCTCCTGAAGTGTTCCCTTTACGCTATGATATGGAGTTCTTCAAAAAGCGTGTTTACAGGGCTCTCAAAGGCTGGCAACGCATAGGCAGCTCATCTGATGTTGCAAATGTCCTTGGGCGACGATGACCACCTCCCATCAAAAGGCTCGTCGGCTCGTTTGCCTCCTTCTTTACTTAAAAAAAAACTTAGTCAATTTAGATAAGATGAAATAAAATATTTCGAATCAAATTGTTTGGTTTTCGCGATTGTTACACATAGGAAATGGAACTATTTTTCCGGCTTTAAATCGCGTATATTTGTTTTTTCAAATTATGTGTGTCCATGACACCCGCTTCATAGGGTTTGCCTAGTACGGGACTATAAATGTCTGCATTATTAATATTACTATTATTTTAGATGTCTATTTTAGAATGTGGCCTCTCCCTCTCTAAAAGATTAATTTTTAATTTTGAAATGGGAGAGGCGGTGGAAACAAAAAAGCTAAAACCGAACATAAAAATCTTTAGCAGGCATTGACGTCTTTGTTTTCGTAATAAATACTCTGCGGTAGTTATGTCATAATGGCAATATTTTTTTAACGGCATTACTGCCGTTTAATCTCCAAACAAAGATATGCAACAAGCATTTAGAGAAATTCGTAAGATCTGCTGACTCGATCTGTATCTCAGTAGGTAAGAGCGGTATAGACGTTGTTTGGTCCTGGGATCGAAGGTATTTTTCTTTGTTGTGTTTGTTCGATCTTTGCTTCAATCCAACTAATATTACAAACGCGAAAATAACTCTGTCTGTTGCGTATTCACGCATAAACCGCTGAACCAATTTTGATAAATTTTGGTATAGAGATAGACGGAACCTAGTAGAAGGATAAAGGCTAAAAAAATTAAGTCTTAAAGGAGGTAGTGAAACAGAGAACCAATAAAACTATGAAAATTAGTACGGTACAGTCATCGAGTACATACAGGCTGTATATTTGAAAGTGAGACATACTTATAGAGTGCGTTATATTGCTGATTCTGAACGCAAAAAAATTATTAACTAATGAACTTAAGCTTTAGAAAAAAATATTTTGTTATTTTTTTTATCGACTACTACTTGTGAACAACATTACTTATCGGAATCTGTGCACACCACTATTATTGCTCCGACGGACGCAGCGGTGAGCTGTCAGTTGGCGAAAAACAAAGCACAGGTCGGCACTGTTGTACAGAGACAGTGCACGCGCGACCTTGGCTTAGCGAAGACCCGTACATTATTTGTACTTCCGCTCGCCCGAACACTGCGCTGGCGGCGAACGCGCCCCTCGCCTGCAAAATGGATATTTATTCTAACGTCGAATTGACTGAGATGGTGCAACTTTACGCAATAAGTGGTGATAGTGTGAGGCGAGCTATTGAAATGTTCCCAAATTGGAGTATACGCGGAGGAGGTGAACAGTGTCGAAGTTGTTGCATGAGAGAATTATCTCAGCATTTTATACTGTTAGACAAAATGTGTTTGTGTTGACCAATTTAAAACAAAATTTACTACGACGTGCTAGACTATGCATTGTGGAAAACGGTGGACATTTTGAATACTTTCTCCGTACCACGTAAGTGTAAATGAACTGTAAATAACTAAGAAATCAATCATTGTAAATAATTGCTTTCACATTTTTAACTACGGCAAAAACTTATCTTTTTTAGTACGTAAAACATTTTTGATGATAGTTCATAAGTAAAAAATAATTAACTTAAGCTAAAACGTAATCATTTCGATAACAGCTTTTCATCATAACAAAAATGAGTGAGGTGAGAGAGAGATGTGAAATCATTGTTATAGTTGCTGTCTCACTCGGCGCCCGCTTGGTAGTATTCCCAATGCACTCGAAATCAAGCGTAAAGGGAATCGGTTTATTCCTATGTACACTTCAAAACAAATTTGTTGATTTATTTTTTATTCTATCCCATATCCTAATTTTATTTTAGTCTATGTTCAGTTGTAACATGATTTACCATGACATGCATGAATATGTCTCACTTTCAAATATACAGGCTGTATAAGCAGAAATAGAGACGAATGTCATTTAATTTGTTTGAAAACCATTCTGCCAAATCATTCCGGTGACAATTGCACTCCGATTGGCCATTCCGAATTCGAAACAATTGACGGGTGTCGTCAATTGTTTCACTTCAAATCGACCCGTTGAACTTGAGCTTTGCTATAACGGACCAAAATTGAAAAATTACGTAGGTATTTAATATTTAATTACCGATGAAATGTGATTTGATGATGATACAGAATATTTTTGGAATATACGGAGACGTACACACAGGTCAGCTGTTGGCGCTGTACTATTTCAGTTTTCTAATTTGTGATTTCAGTGCAAACGAGAGTTGATATCTAAAGTGATATAAGGCCCATTTACCTGATGAGTTGCCAGGGATGTATGGCTCTTATTTCGTCTCTATTTCTGATTATATACTCGATGAGTACAGTCTTCTTCTCTTCTTATTTAAGAACTAGGCTCTAGTCAGTGGAACAATAATATTAACTCAAGAATAATTACAAATACAGGACTGCTCTCGAGATTTCTTGCAAACCGTAGCGGGGAGTGCCAAAACGGTGGTGTTGCCAGAAGACGAGATTATACAACACGCTGCCGACATCAGCCGAGATATGTATATATTGCAAAAAGTATGTTTTTCATTATAGACAGACTTCAAAGTCGAACTCTATTACAGCTAGTTCTTGCCTCATTCGATTTCATTGACATTAAAAGTGCTCTATTTTAATAGTAAGTTACTGTAAAATGTAAATTGCTACATGAAATATTTATTAAAAGGTTATATTACATTTTATTACAGGGTCATTGTGACATGCTTAATAGTAACGGTAAAGTAGTCAGATCATTTGGGCCTGGCTCTCATTTTGGTGTAGTCGAAATGATATTTTGTTTGCCAAAGGTAAGCACTGCCAAAAATTATACCTATAATTATACCTATAATTTAAAGAAAATTACCATTATTGATTATCACAATGTTTTTACTACTATTGTTATTCATCTATTTAAAAAAAATACTCTCCTAGTTCGATCCGACTAGATTCGAACGTGACAACAGAGAGCTGAGAGAGAGAGAGAGGCGGCAGAGCGCTGGTTAGAATATATAGCTAATCAGATCGAAGGACTTTTTCTTTGTATTTGTTAGATCTTGTATCAATAACAATAAGAGTGGTTACACACACGCGATTTATAGGCGATTGGATCGATGCAAACGTGCGACTGCATCGATACAGTCGTTTATATTAAATAATTATGCATCTCTATAGTAAAAAAAGTCAAAATCTGTACAGGTTTATACACAATATTTTGTTTTGTTAATTGTAAATTTAAAAGTGTTTAATTTTTTTAATTTATTTAAAAGTGTAAAATTAATAAATACCTTAAATACATAAATTAGTTAATTAATTGAAAGCGTGCATCGCGTTTGTATAGCGTTTGTATAGCGTTTGTATCGGGTTTGCATCGTGTTTCCATCACTGCTTAAAATCGCGCGCATGTTTAAAAGTAGACGATTAGCGACTGCATCGCTACTGGATTGCGTTTGCATCGCGTTTGAATCGCTTCTAAAAGTCGCCGTGTGTAACCTAAGACTTAACTTATTCCACAACTTTCAGGTGCACACAGTGATAACAACAACAAACTGTGTACTTCGACACGTGGAGTATAGTTCACTGTTGCAGTGTTGGAGCACTTTCCCTGATATTAGCATGCCGATTCTCACGGTGAATATGAAATATTTATACTTACGTCGTTGTACTACGGGAAATATCAGACGGTTAACTCAATGATAAGCAGTAATCAGCGTCTGTAGGCATTTGAGATTCTAAGGGAGTATTCTTAAGCCTATGGCCGGATCTTAATCCGCCCTGGCTTGAATCAGCGTCTATCTCCTGATCGTGTTACCGCTGTGTCAACTGAGCTAAAGATTCGCAACAGGAATAAAGAGAAAATCATAAGATCTGCTAGCTCACTCCGTATTTAATTTCCGTCATGTTAATCCACAAGACATCATAAAAGCTTTTAAATCAATACATGTTAAAAATACTGAAGATCTCTGGGGCTTATCAACTAAAGTCATTGACTCAGTTATTGATCTAATTTCCCCACATTTAGCTGTAGCTTTCAATAGGTGCGTTGATAAAGGTGTTTTTCCCGATTTAATGAAATACAGCAAGGTTATTCCCTTATTCAAAAGCGGTAGGAAAGTTGAACCTAGCAACTATAGGCCAATTTCAATTTTACCAGCTTTAAGTAAAATATTCGAAAAGGTTATGCTGATTCAATTACTGTCCTATTTCGGTAGGAATCATATTTTTCATAGTGAACAATACGGGTTTACTAGTGGTAAATCGACTAGCGATGCAGGGGGTAGCGTTACTAAAACACATCTTTGATGCTTGGGAAAGGTCCC